CAGGAAGAATTACCTTTGTTCACTGGAGAACATAGATACTGCTACTGAATGTGTATAGTAGGAAGTGCTTACTTTTTTTAGTATAGGTCCTTACCAGATTTTTTTTTTCAAGGGCACAAGTTTGACCATCATGTTCCAAGTGATGTGTAGAAATGCAATGAAATCATCTTATGATTGCAGAAACATTCACTCACAAGACAGCACAAGTGCACTCTAGTCTTTGTAATGGCACTTGACTTCAAGCACTGGAATTTGAGTTATGCAAAACTTCCTGTATAATTGTTCCTTTCAGTGAGAGGCATCATGTATGTGAAGAAAATCATGAAAAAACACAGCCAGAAACCCAGGTACAGTACAATGGAGTGAACAGGAATATGGGTGTCTTCCAGCAAAGGAATAGGGTGCCCCAGCAATTGCACTCTCACAAGTCACAGATATCTGGACAAGTCACCACTTCCTTATGCTCCAGGAGCATCTCTGGAAGATAGATAACAAACCTTCCTCTTGCTCTTTACCTTATCTGCTGAGACTAGGAGCCATCTGGCTGCAGACAGAGCCTTGAACAGAGGCAGAAGGGAGGAGCCAGGTTGGCAGAAGAGGACCATAACACCAACACAACAATAACCTTTTCTGTACTTCAGCACAAGCAGTAAACTGTAAATACTATGCTTATGGTGCCTGTCTCGCAAGTTTTTCATCCAGAAGTAGAATTAATGCTCTTCTCTTCAAAATGCTACTTTAAAGATTCCCTCTCTGCTTAACCTTTAATAACCAGCTAGTTGGACAGTCTTGTGGCAGAGCACAAAGGAAAAGAGCTATGAAAAAGTAAATGTAAGTCAAACATACATTGACTGGGACAAGATCCAACAAATTAATCAAACTGATAACCTCCAGCACAAAGTTATTCCATGTATGTATTTTTGTTTCAGAAAGAGCTGGCCATAAAGCACTGAACTCCAGAGTTGATTTCAAATTTAGAAATATTAACTGCAGCAGCTTCCTGTTAATGAGTTAATTAGCAAATGACAAGAATCAGCAACAGTGTCCACTTTTGCAGAGGAACACACCTACAGCTTGAAATTCAGAAAAAAAAAAGGTATGTTTACATGTGGGTGCCTTAGCTAAGCTTTTCTGCTCATAACAGTAAGCATCCTGCACTAAAAAGTCAGATTAGCCTACAGAGCTGAAATTTACCTGCCTTGCAACGGCAACGTCACACACTCAAATTAATCCTATTTAAGTATAAAACTGTCTTTGGAAAACCCTGTATGTGAGCATGAAGGCATTCTTAAGATGAGGGCCAAATCAGAACGTATTTAGCTTTTGCCATTTCATTCACTGTGTAGTCCTAAGTGAGCATGCAGTTCATGTAAATGAAGGCATGACTTAGCCATCCACCAGGAATAGTGATGTCAGCTCATAAAATTTTAATTCATACAAGCCAAACTCATTTTTTGGCATGAAGGGATGCAATAACCCTCCCATTTGTTGCACTGAAAACAGCAGAGTAGCTACAGTAAGCCAGTCACTGAGTGGAGTACAGTACCGCTGCTGAACAGTATTGCTGCTGATTTGTTTCAATGTCATTTATGCCCAGAGCTTTGTGCTAGCCCAGAGCTCTCATTCAGTTCCACCCATCTCAGCGCCCCAGCACTCCACGCAGGCAGGCTTCCCCAGAACCATCTCTGCCGAGGAGTCAGCCCATTTCATGTAAAGGGACATTTGCATAGGAGGAAGCAGCTGTAGATTTGGTGGCAAGGGTCATCCAATTTCACGCCAAAACCAAGAATTGCACTCAAATGAACACCTAAAGAGCAGCTCAGTTAGCAGCTCCAGCTCCACTGAGTAACCTTTTACCTACTTTTTCATATAAACAAATTTAAAGGGCGTTACACACGCTGTAGTTCCACCACCTCCTGGAGTGCTGTAGGCCAAAGGATCAGTGGAATGGATTTCTAAGAGTAACCTAACTGGCATGAAGAACCCAAATGAAAGTGACTATATCACTTTGCTACTGACAATTTAAGTGTTATGGGAAAGGACTTTCAAATTGAAACTAGCATTCTTTCCCAGTTAATAAACCTAAATTTGGGTTTTTTAAAAATTGAACCAGCTCTGAGACAAATTACTTGCACCTAACCAAACTAACATGCTCTTCAGTGAAACTGAAAAGGTTCTGCTCCTCTGCCTGCCATTTCTGTCAGACTCACTGCAATGAACAGCAATTTTTCTGCATGAGAGGCATTAATCATCCCCTCCTTTCATTAAGGACCTGACTGTTAAAGAATTGGCTGTAAAAATAAGAACATGCTTTTGACTTCCCTGCTTGACTTTCAGACTGTCGCATTCCCCCCCACTGCCCCAAAAGAAGTCTTTCCTAAGGAGCTTTTTTAAAAGCCAAACCAATTCTCTTAAACACCACCTCCTCATTAAAAATACAAGCCCCTCCTAGCCATCTATGATTGTACGGTCGCGCTAGGTATGTTGGGGGGGTGGAAAAGGTGGTTGGAATTTGGCACGTGATCTCGGGGTGCTGCCTCGCTAACAGGGAGCCAGGCCAAAGGGGGCCAGCTGTGTCATCCGTGCCCCTGAGAAAGCGGCCGAGCCTGCTCACGACCCAGCACCTTCGCCTCGCTGACAAAGGGCTCCCCCCGAGCCGGCGCTGCCCCGCAGCGCAGGCAGGGCCCGGGCGG